CAATATTTGAAACTATTATTATTGTTAATCACCAATTATATATTGTTGGCTTCTAAATCTATGTTATCAGTCTGTACTATTTCCTGACTCTATGTATATGTGTCTAGCCTTCTTGTGATGTCTCTAAATTCTACAATATGTCCAGTCAGAAATCTTGAAGTCATTTTAGACTTCCTTGTTCTCTCTTTATTCTGACAGACAAAGAGTAACAAAGCCTCGAACCATTCAAAAAATACATTGTAGGCACGTGCATTCAGCAAAATAAGCCAATATAATCCAATAGTCCATAATAGTAGTTGGTTTTCCGTAAGACTGGCAATGTTAGAAGTTGTTGATTTGAGCCTTTTACAGTTCAGCATACTAATATGGCTTTACTTTTAATATTTCCTTTTAATACTTTTCTGCTGGATGGTTAAGACCAAGATAAAGCCAGATCTATATAACAAGAAATGCAACTATTGTATCTGATATTGTCGGTCAGTCAAATACCCTCAGGATTTACCCTGAATCCCTGTATTGCAGTTTGTAGATCCCAGGTCAGTGTCAGCCATGTGGCTGAGTCACAGCCATTGCTGTAACAATTTGCTCTCTGTGGAAGCCTGACAGAATGTTTTCTCTCCATGTGACACTCCTTAGGCACACTCTACATCATTGATTACATTCCTCTGTGACCCCATAAACTCCTTGATTAGAAAATTTGGGACATAACTAAGTTACATGATGTTACAGTACAATTTCTCCTATGTCCTGAGACTTCACTGACTTTAAATGTATTCATACCCCTCAGTGCACCTAAGCACATAAGGTAAATAGTAAGGTATCTTAGCAAGAGATATATTACCATACAGAAATAGTTGGGCACTTCAGCATCACATTTATTAAATAAGATCATCCAGATAGAATATTCACAAAGAAACATTGGACTTCAACAGCATGTTGAATCATATGGACCTAATGGAAATATATAAAATATTCAATCCAATACAAAAGTAGCCCATTCTTCTGTAGCATAGACAAAGTATACCACAGACTAAACAACATATTGGCCCACAAAACAATCCCCAACTAAGTTAAAAAATCTGAAATATTATCTTGTATTTTTGGAACTACAATGGGATGATACAACAAATTAAAATAGGAAGTTTGCAAAAATTTCACAAATTCATGAAAGGTCATCCACTTGAACAAACAATGAATCAACAAAGAATTCATAAGAAAATCTAAAAATATAAATGAAACAAATACTATTGGAATATCAAAAAACGTGAGATATAGAAAAGAAAGACAAAGGTATATGCCAATAATATATGCATCTACAAAGAAGAAAGGTGCCTTATGAATAACCTAAACTTTTGCTGCAGTGAATTATCAAAAGAACATACTAATGGTTGGGGAGACAGCTCAGCAGCATAAGCACCTGCCTAGCATGTGCAAGATCCTGAGTTTAATCCCCTGTACTGCAAAATAAGCAAATAAATTTATTTATTTAAATTAAAATAGAAAATTACATAGACCAAAGTTACTAGTAGAATGAAACAATAAAGATCAGAGGACAAATGAATAAGCGACTAAAAAAATGTTCTAAAGATTAAAACTAGGATTTTTTAAGACATGAACAAGGGCCAGGGATATGGCTAAGTAGAACAAGCACTTCCCTGGCAAGCAC